TACTACTACTCTACTNNNTATAGTATATATATATATATATATATATATATATATATATATATATATTATTAGTTTTTTTTTTTTTTTCTTTAATTATTTAACCTTGCCCTTTTGGGTTTTCATCATGTCTGTTATTTTGGGGAGGCATCTTTAAAGTCATGTCCTCGGGACCGTAGGGAAGGCGTGCTTAAGGTCATGCTGTCGGGACTATAAGGTTAGTGTTTTTTGAGGTCTTACCCCAAGACCAAACTGGCATACGTTTAGAGTCGTGCTACCAAGGCTATAATGTTAGTGAATTTTAAGGTCCTACACCAAGACCAAATGTCGTGTACTTTAACGTCATACTTCAGGGTTGTGCTTAAAGTCGTATAGCTTGGATATGCGCCTACACAGTTTTAAGGTCGTACTGCTTGGACCATAATGCGATGCGGTTTAACGTCGTGTTGCAAAGACGAGTGCCATGCAGTTTAAGGTCTTGCAGTACAGACCAATACCATGCAATTTAAAGTCTTGCAATTTGGACCTATACCATGCAATTTAAGGTATTGCAGTTTGGACCTATACCATGCAGTTTAAGGTCTTACGGTTTGAACCTATACCATGCAATTTAAGGTCTTGTGATTTGGACCTAAGCTTACGGGTAATCCTTCTTTAGATACTGTCCATTCATTAGTGGCATGGCTTCTTCTCCTTCAAAATCAACTAATATATATGCCTCATTGGGGAAGGCTTTCTTGACTACGAATGGTCCTTCCTACTTTCGTTCAAAATTCCCCTTAGTCCTACCATGGGTTATAATGGGTCTCTTGACTGCAAGCACTAATTCCCCACTGGTGAATGAGCGTACTTGGATCGACTTATTGAAGACCGGATGCATATAACCTTGATAGATTTCAAGGTTTTGCTGAGCATCCATTCTCTTCTCATCAAGGGCGTTGAGTTCTCGATAGTGACGTTTGTCTTGCTCTTTATCAGTCATCCCATGGTGAATGGCTACCCATAGTGAGGCCATTTGGACTTCTACAGGCAGGAATTCTTCGCTTCCATAGACGAGGGAATATGGAGTGGACTTAGTGGGACCACGTATAGTGGTACGATAAGCCCATACGACGTTAGGGAGCTTCTCGTGCCAGTCTCTCTTTTTCTCGGACACTGACTCTCATAAATCACTATAGAGAGTCTTATCGAAAGCTTCAACGAGGTTGTTGCCTCGAGGATGGTACATGCTGGAATACTTCCACTCGAAACCAAACTGATCGATAAAGTTGTCCATATGGTGACTGTGAAACTGTGGTCCGTTATCTGAAGTAATTCGGTCAGACACCCTGAATCAGTAGATAATGTGATGATGAATGAAATTAGTGACTGCAATTGTAGGGGCTTTTTTTAGAGGAATAACTTCAGCCCACTTAGAGTAGTAGTCAGTGCCAGCCAAAATGAGAGATAACCAGAAGAAGAGGGTGGGTCTATAGGCCCCATAATATCCACACCCCAATGTGAAAAGGGCCATGATGATATTGTCGAGTGAAGGGGTCCAGGAGCTTGATCAATGAAGCTCATGTGAATCTGACATGATGAGAATCTCTTGGTGATCATGGTTCACCAGTAATAGCAGATTCTCATGATCCAGTCATAGAGCTGGGGCCTGAGTGGTGGAGCCCAAAGATCCCATAATGAATTTCCTTAAGCACATGGTTCACCTCTTCTTGACTGAGGCATTTGAACAACATGTCATTAAAGGAACGTCGGAATAGAAAGCCATCACGACACCGGTATCTGGTGGCTCACCTTCTAACCTTGTTGCACTCAATAAGGGAATCCGGGAGACGGTCGTTCTCTAAATATTCTATTATGGGCGTCCATCGATCTTCGATTTGCTCTATCTTCACACAAATTGGGGTTTGAGACTCCGACTCATCGCTGTCTATCTCAGTTATGGGGGGTTCTTGCAAACTTCCTGAGGCCTTGAGAGCATCTCTAACTGCACGCAATGCCCCAAAAGGATAAGGCAGGCATGCATCGAATAGATTCTGCTCATCATTATCATCAAGTCCATCAACCAAGTCGACATGCCTCCACTCAGCGACCCATATTGGTGTAGGCTCCTTCAATGGGATTTGAATAGTCACACCAAGCTTAGTAAGTGCGTCGGCTTGTGCATTAAGCCTTTGCGGGATGTGCTCAACAGAAACTTCTTCAAATAGGACCATCAAGGACTTAACAGTGTAAAAGCAAGGTTTGAGACTCTCTTTCCTCACATCGTACACTCCTTTGAGTAGCCTTAACACCAATTCAAAATGTTCATATATGACCAAGCAATTCAGGTTCATGTGGCAGGCAATTTCTAAGCCCACGACGAGTGCTTGATACTTGACTTCATTATGGGACTCAATTTCTGAAAAGGGGAAAGGCAAGGGAACAAAACCACCTGATGGGTAGAAAATACAACTACCTCATTCTAATTGTAAAGCACCACCAAAATGCATTTTCCAATCACATGAGGCTTCAGTCTGGAATACTTCTTCGTCTGAGAGGTATCAGACAAGGGAGAGGAGCCGAACCGGGTGTGCCAACAAATAGTGCCTGAGCATCTGAACTACAAAAATCAGGCATAGGCACATCTTCTCGATAGGAGAGTAATTCCTTTCGGCTCCTTACAACCTTCTGTTGAGGTAATATAAGGATGTCTCCTTATCTCCTTCATTGCTTTGTGCAAGCAATGCACCAAGTGAATCGTCAAGGGCAGTTACATAGAGGATGAGGGGCTTTCCTAGAGTGGGAGCATAAAACACCAGGGGATTCAAAAGGTAAGCCTTGATATTTCTGAAGGCTTTGTGACATGCCTCGTTCCATTCAAAGGGCACATCTTTCTTTAATAGGTGTGTAAAGGGTTTACACCATCTTGAAAGATTAGAAATTAAATTTCGAATATAGGTTAGCTTGCCTTGACGGGATCTAAGCACTCACAAATTCTTCGGAGATGGCATCTCTTGGATTTCCTTGATCTGACAGGTTCCATCTCCAAGCCTCGAAACCTGATAATGAAACCAAGAACTTCCCTGACTGCATGTCAAAGGTACACTTTAGGGGATTCATTTTGAGCTGGTGAAGACGGAGCTGTTTAAAGACTTGCTCAAAATTTTGAGTGTGGGTTCTCCTCTCACCCGACTTTATTACAAGATCATCTACGTAGCATTCCACTTCTTCATGCAACATGTCTTCGAAGACAGTGGTCATAACCCACTGATAAGTAGGTCCTACATGTTTTAGGCCAAATGGAATTACAGTATAGTAGAAGACTCCCTTAGGTGTCAAGAATGTTGTAGCCTCTTCATCTTCAGGTGACATCCTTATCTGATTATACCCCGAATAACCATCCATAAAGGATAAGGCTTGGCAACTTGTAGTCGAGTCAATGAGCATTTTGGTGAAGGGGATTGGGAAGTCGTCTTTTGAGCATGCCGCATTCAAGTCGCGAAAGTCAATGCAGACTCGAATTTGTCCATTCTTCTTTTTGACTGGCACAACATTAGCCAATCATTTCGGGTATTTGACTTCTCAAATGAAACCGGCTGACTTGAGCTTGTTCACCTTAGCATCAATCGGTATCTCAAGGTCAGCTCGAAATCTCTTTGACTTTTTCTTTACTGGCTTGAAAGACGAGCCAATCTCGAGTCGATGAACTGCAACCTAGGGATCAAGTCCGAACATCTTATGATAATGTTAGGCAAAGACATCTCAGTTGGCTCTACGAAAGGTGGTGTACTCCTCTTTCTCCTCATGGATCATAATGATTGAGATAAAGTTTGACCTCGGGTCAATTTCATCACCCAAGTTTATCCCCTATAAGTCATCAGCATTGGCCTGACCGCCATCTTCTAACACCTCTGGTGCTTCTTCCATCTCTTCTTCATCAGAGGGTTGGGGGTTAGAAGGTTCCTCTTAGACTTCTTCTATACTTTGATTGATGGATAGTGACTCTTCTGCTACCAAGGTTTCAGGCTCTTGAGAGTTTTGAAAAACTTCTTCTTCTTCTTCCGTTTCATCAGGCGGTAAGGGATCAGAAAGCTGTTCTTTGACTTTGAGCACTTCCATCTCCTGCTCAATAGTCAGTAACTCTTCTACTTTCGAGGTTTCAGGTTCTTGAGGGATTTCTAGCTCATCTTCTTGAGAACCTAGGGGAATAACCTCTTCAAGGGTGACACGTTTAGGGGAGTCCTGTGGCGGTTTTGGGGAAACTGTCACATGTGTTGTTTGGTCAACTAGAAGTGAACGGGGAGGCGAGTGAGCATGCCTCGTATGTCTAAGACCTTGTTTACTCATATGTTGAGATGACGTAGCCTCAATGATTGCAAAGGGTGTCTACCGTCTTTCAATCCATGGTTAGTGGCCATCTCATCCATCTTCTTCATGATTTGATGGGCTTGGGATCTGTAAAGATTCCACTTAAGCGGGGTCGTGATGCTCATAGAGGTAGAGCCTTGGGAAGGACTTATTGTGCTGACATTTGAGGATTCTGATACAAATCTAGGCAATGGTGCTGA